CGGTAGCAACAATGATTAGAAGTTCTTAATTAAGAAAGTTGATTTTAAGTTTTAAACCATATTATGATATCCTCAAATTTGGGGCGTCACATGCATTGCACGGTTTTAAATTGGAACGATTTATTTTTTGGAAAGTGTTCGATCCTTGTAAGGCGGTAAATAGCATAGTGATCCGGGTAGTCGAATTGGGATTTGGAAATGAATTGAGTATGGTATTGGTACCCGCGCGGAGAGTCAAGGTGTTCAATTGTCTTGCCTTGTGCTTGGTGTTGGACGAATGTGGGAAAGGTTTTTTGGGTGTCCACGGCCCTACTGTATTGAGCCGACGAATGTGAAAAATGTGTGTTTTAGGTGCCCATCGCCCTTTTGTATTGTGAACCAGGAAATGTGGGACTATTTTGACATATAAAACACACACACATGTATATGTGTGTGTGTATTGCGCTCTTACCTTGGGATTCTAGCACGTATTTACTGCAACATGCTTTATGTTGGACTTTGATTTTGCAAAAGTGCATCGACCATCATTCTTTTAAAAGTATAAAACAACGGATTTCGGCATAGTACTTGCATTAGCATGATCATAATGATATCAAACATTTATATACATTGTTAAATGCGTTTCTATTAGGCATCATTGCTCATTTTTATCATGACAAACAAATTTCAGGTTTTGATGATGTGATTCCACCCTACTGGTGTTCTCGTGGAAACTTTGACAGAGCACTGAAGCTCCTTATGTGTATATAGCTACCGAGTTTACTTGTTTCGGAAAGCGTTCCACTTATTTGTAATGAAAGACCTACTCTTAAAAGACGTATAAGCTCTTAGGATACTTTGTTGTATTCCTCTTATTTATTAAATTATCTTGTATTATTTATTTTGACTGAAAGTGATGTAATGCCAGAATGTAACTTTTATAAAAGAAATTCCAAAGAGGGACAGAAATGTTTTGAGTTCAAGATAACATTGTGTTTAATCTGATTTCTTTACTTCATTTTATATCATGAAACAAGACGATAATAAAAGATTAGTGGAAATCCTTAAAATCACGGGCCTTATTCTATCACATATGCAAGTTTGCTAATGCCTATAAGTGAGACAAATTACATTACATCACTGCCATGTGACTCCTTTTTTTTATTTTTTGGAGCAGTATGGGACACCCAGTGTGACACCTCTCATTAACAAGCATTGTCTACTTGCTTGATCGTAAAAAATGTTACATGGTAGGCCGTGACTTTACTTATGTATGACAACCGTCAGTTTTAGTTAAAAAATCATTATAAGGTATTATATTAATCTCTTTATTTTTTTATATATATTTTTATAAAAAGTTAAAAAATTACTAAAATAACATATTTTCAAATAAGACCTGAATTGAAGAGTAAAGCTACGGGGTGTAATTGTTTCAAGCTGTTATAAAAAAACAACTAAAGTTTTGGAATTCAAATTCACAGTTGAATGAGAGAAAAGCTCCATGAATGTAACTATAATGGTGGAGATCATGGAGGTGAGGTTCCATAGTTGCTGCGAATTCGAAAGACACATATAAATAGACAAAGTGAAAGACAGAGAAAGCTTTGGAACATATCTAATATTTATCAATTTCTTACTTTTCTCTTTTCTTGTTCTGCACTGAGTAGATTTTAATTTAGAATAGTAATCTCTTTATTAGTTCTTACCTGAGAAGTTGCGAGAGAACAACTATTGTAATACAAGTATAATTGAATTATTTAATTAATCAATTACTTTGTTTCTGTCTCAATCTCTTCCTCACATTCTTAACTTGATTATTACTGGATTAAGTTCTCTTCACTTTTTAAATTTTTTCAAACTTAAGCACAAATATTAAAGTCTTTTTTGTTGAGGCAAAAAGAATATTTTAAATTAAAAAAATGCTTCGGACCTCCACTAGGGGTTGACTCCCAGTGAGGTGGCGTGCCGTGATTGGACAAAAGAAAAACTGTTTTATTTATTTATTTATTTTTTTTGAGTTTCAGTCAGTGGGGGCTCGCCACCTCACTGGGGGTCTGCAGCATAGTTGTTTAAATTAACTTAATTATTATTTGTAAGAATTATTTAATTTTTACTAACATACACAAATTTAAATTTATAATATTTGAACTATCAAAAAAAAGCTAACAACTTCCTCAGAAATTTCATTTTCAAGTCATGAGGTAAACAGTCAGGCCTGAAAGTGTTTGATTCGATTCCAAAAACTTGATGAGTCACATGTTTCAAATTCAGACAAGATTTGAATTGATGTCCACAACAACATGCTAAGCCCATCTCTTAGATTTTATTACAGTTTTCAAGCTTCTTTGAAATTACCATATTGACCACTTCAAGCATAAGTACTCTTGATACATACTGCGTTTGAATTTTGATTATTTTTTCATACTTTTACTTTAAAATTTGGCGCTCTTTTGGTAGAGCTTCCAAATTTTAGTTTTGCCCTTTGTTTTCAACGTGGTGTTTGTTTACAGCTTTCAAAAATTAATTCCACACTCAGTTTTGAAAACTCTGGCCAAGGTGGAAAAATTTGGACTAACCGGTCATCCCATCGGACGTCCCACCAGTCGTCCGGCCGGTTGACCGGAACAGTGCATATTTTTTTTATTTATTATTTTTTTTTCCAATTGACCCATGTTAATTTTTTTATATTCAATAAAAAATATTTTTTGAATTTTTAAAATTTTTTTATGAGTTTCGAATAGAATTTTGAGTTGTATGTTTGGTTATGAGTTGTAAGTTTTTGTATCAAATATCATATATCACATCAAAAATTTCCTATTTAATTCAAAACTCTTTTCAAATCTCATTCACCAAACAAATTTTCCACACTTAAATCATAATTCCAAAACTCACAAACTCAAAATACAACTTTATTCTCAAATCATATTTAGAAAACTCTACCAAACATAACCTTAATTTTTCTCCTTTGTTTTTTTTTTTTTTTTGTTTTCCCCCCTTCTTCTACAAGTCCAAGATCCTCAGTGACGGTAGATTTTGTTTGCATGGAGAAATATATTTTGATTTAACTTATTTGACACATTATGATTGTGCACATTAATTGAAGATTATGCACATTAAATTAGTCATACTATTTGAATTTTTAATGAATGATGACATCCCAATTAATACTCTGGATCATTCATTTTTTTATTTATTATAATAATAAACTCAAATGAAATTATTAAAAAAAGACATGAATTACTTTGGGGCACCCCATCTCACAATTAAATCCACCCACCCACTAAATTATGATATAGGGTTCATGAGAACACCTACTTCCATCACTATTAACGACCCATGCACTTCAAAACCCTCAAAACCTTCAAAACCGTTTGGCGGCTTCTAGCGGCGATAGAGGCAACTATTTGACAGTACACACATCTCCAACAATGGCATTGAGTGAAATTTTTTCCCACAATCCCAATATCATGAGACGAATGGAGCATCACAATGTAAGCTTGGAGAAGGATCATAGCTTGGCTGATATTCTAAGCTCGGAGAAGGTTGATCTTGTAATGATAAATTTTTCAAAAAAAAAAAAAAATGGTGAAAATGGTTCAACTTTTTTCAATACTAAACTCCCGAATATATGCCAAAAAAATGGCAACATATGGCAAATTAAAAGAATTAATTTGGCAACATCTAACCAAACATTATTTATATGTTCATCACTTTGGATCCAAACTTTTTTATTCATATGTTTGGCACTTCGAATGTAATCTTAATGCATACTCATGTTTTGGTTATGTGATGAATTTTAATTTTATTTGTTGACCAAACTGATTGGTTCATACTTATCTTTGTTTGTTAATTTTGATAGGTTATACTTGTTTACAGACACACGACTTTACGTTTTTATAATGTTTGATAACACAAGTCTGAACATGTACAAATTGTTCGATAACACACGTCCGAACATGGATAATTTGTTCAGCAACATAGGTCCGAACATCGTAATGAAGAGATCGACAGAGGAGAGAGGTCAACAATGAGGGTGATCGATGACGACAAAGATCGACATCGGAGCATTGTCGACAGTAAGAGGAAACTTAAGTTCAACGATGAGAGTTCAACAGCTGATGATGAAAGAAAGCTTGAGTTCAATGGTGAGAGTTGAACAATCAAGGGTTTTGGGAGATGAAAGGTTTTCAGGCACTATAAGAATTTACACATTTGCTAACCACTTTTGCCGACCAAAAAACATTTCGTAGCTAAAAGTTGATACTATTACCAACTAAAGTAATTTTGTCGCGACCAATTTAAAAATTAGTCGCTAAAAATGATGTCAGGAGGTGAAAAATTGGGTGGGAACAGTATTATCTTTTAGCGACGAAAATAATTTAGTTGCAGATATCAAAACGACGTCGTTTTGATATCTAAATGCACTGGTAGACAATGGCCTACCAAATTTTAGTCGTTATATATTAAGATTCTGCGACAAAAAACAAATTTTGTTGCTAAAGGTGAAATGTCTTTTTAGTGGGGTATATCACCGCCGCTGTTCTCTGTTTACAACCATTTGTTCAAACCTCACACAGATTCTCCTTCACCACCAAACCTTACCTCACCGCAGACCACCACCGCTGGCACAGATCGCCACGGCCACGGCCACCGCCGCAGATCCCCATTCCCGTCGATGATCCTCCTCCGTCCTCCGCTGGTGCCTCTCTCTCTCTCTCTCTCTCCTAAACACCCACCGCCGTCGATGATCCTCTTCCTTCTCCTCCTCCTCCACTGGTGCCTTTACCGGATCCGAGAAGATCGTCGAAATCTAAATCAGATTTGAATTCTAGGCTGAGATCTGACCGTCGTGAGCGATCCACAGCGACGCAATGGCTTCCAAATCCTACGACAAGATTGCCGATATCTGCGACGACCTCATCCTTCAGGCACACACATTACCCATCCTTCTATTCCATTATTGATCTCTCTTCTTATCAAACCCTAATTTACTCTCTCTCTCTCTCTCTCTCTCTCGCTCTAGGTTTCAACGCAGGGGATTACATTCCAAGACGAATGGCCCTATTCGATTCATCTTCTAGGCAACATCTACATCGACGACATGTGAGTTGATTTTGTATGACTGTGTTGTTCAGTGTCATTGATTTGGGGTTTTACGATGGTTTTAGGGTTTGTGTATATATATATATATATGTTTTGTGTTGTAGCAATAGTGCTCCATTGTTCAGTGTCATTTTTTCTATGTGTAAAATTTTGACATTGTTGGTCTCACTTTGTTTCTTGTTTGATTGTCAATTTGTCTTCTAGGGTTTGGGTTCATTTTTTTTAATCAGATGATTTTGATTGTGGAACTTTATTGATTTATATGTATGGTGGTTGAGTAGACCTTTTTTAGATTCTGAATTTAGCTTTGATCGTTCAATTCTGTGAGATATAGGGGTGTGATCCTACTTAAAATTCTTAGTTCCTTTCTTTGAAAGTATAGGGGTGTGATTATGAAAGTATGATTATGAAAGTGAGATATAGGGGTGTGATTTTGAAATTATTAAACTTGGTTTGATTTGAGTGTGGTTTTTGGATGAACCGTTGTTGAGCATGGCATTTTTTCTCTTCCTCTTCGATTTCATTTGGTTATGCCTCTAAACTTCTATCTCTTTCTTTTCTAAATTCTTCTATTTTTTATATTTTTCCTTTTCTAGATGGCTATTTGTCACTAAAGATGACATCAAAGGCTTACCTTGCTTCCAGGTAAATTTGTTTCATGTCCCATATAGTTCTTTCAAGTTTTTCTTTCTCAGTTTTATGGTGACGGGGCTATGTTTATCCCATTAAATCATGGTTGCTGACTTCCAGAATTGTATTGTACTTGTTGAGAATCAAGGTTACTTTTGACAGATGATCACTTTGAACTCCAGCAGCTAGGTAAAGAACTTCAGCTGCATCACAAACTTTTTCTTCGATGCTGGACTATGTGGGTGTGCACGAGGCCATTCGTGGGTTCAATTGGAGTCAAGAGACTCGAGATCTTGTAGCCTCTTTCTTTGGTGAGTTTGTATCTACACCTATTTTTGCATACATTGTTATGTTCTTGCTGAAAAAGTACACCATAGGAAAATAGTCTAAATATATTTTTGATGTTCTTGCTGAAAAGTATTTGGTGGGTTTAGGAAATTAGTTTGGCAAATTTCCTGCCATAAAGATATTATGAGGGGAAGGTACTATTTGGCTTTCTAGTTATTTTTATACTGCAAACAAATTATGCAAAACAAAAATAAAATGTGCAAACATTTTTTGTTTGTATTTCGCAATTAAAAGTTTTGTTGAACCTAGGGGATGGCACTGAACTGAATGGTTCCTACTGTTTAGTTTAATTAAAAACACGTATATATATATATATATATATATTATAAAGAGGTAAAGAAATTACATTGATGTATAATGTGAACTAATACTAATGCTGAAAGGTGAGTACTATACACAGAACATAGAATATCTCCAGATTGTATTTACATTAAATAATTTCTACAACTGCCATGTTTCTCATGTAATTAAAATTTCTACAATATCTCAATTTTGTGCCTGTTTGGCAGAGCTTAATTACAGCTTATTTCAGCTTTCAGCTTAATTTAAGCTATTTTGATATGTTTAGTTTAGCTTATAGCTTATAGCTTATAGCTTTTTGGAAGTCAGAAATCAGCTTATTCTTTAAGTGGGGCAGGAGATGCTTTAAGAATAAGCTGGAAATCAGCTTAAGCTGAAAGTTATAAGTTATAAGCTGTTGAGGCGTAAACTATAAGCACTTTCCCACAGCTCTACCAAACAGGGCCTTTGTCATAGTTTATACTTGAATTCTTTTGTTTTTAAAGTTTCTTTGTCATTCTCTTTTTTCTAATGTAGCCTTTATAAACTGATGTAGAAAGCAGCTGAAACGGAGCTAATGATTAGGTTCCCATATGGAGGTAAAATTCATGTTCTCTCTTCAAGATTATTGACATCTCTATTTAGCACAGTATTATAATTCTTATTCAGTCAATGTGTTCCAAAAAAAAAAAAAAAAAAAAGAAAGAAAGTGTTCCATTGCATAAAGGACATCTTTGGTGGTTTTGTGCTTCAATTTTTTTGGCAATAATTTCGTATTAAGATCAAGTTGTATGTGCTACCTTTGATTAATTTGTGTACTTCGGTTCAATTGCCTCAAAGTAATTGAAGCTTCTCCCTAGTAAGCAACAATTGGGCAATTGGAAATATATTTTTCCTTTAACAGGCAAGTTAAGGAGACCCGAACTTGAGTTTCTTTATTGGGGTAATAGGACCTAAGCTGCTGGAGTGTCCAGTTGAAAATCAACATAACAAGCAACAATCGCAATACTGTTGTATCTTTTGAAGGATATTATCAGTGAGGGTATTCGATTGAACTGGTCATCTCATCTTTCAATTTTCTCTTCAAATCATTTTTCAGTTTCTTATGAATGATTGAAATGAATGTCATAAGATCTAGTTTTGACTTTATTGTTGCGAAGAAACATTGTCTTTGTGGGAAGGTTCAGTTTGAGCTAAATATATTGAATACAACACAAGCCTAAGGGCAATTATATATTTATAATCTGTTACAAGATCCTTTAATCATCTTATGAGCATGATGACTAATAGCAATTTTGATTATTTACAATTGAAACTTGCAACTAATTGTGGGTGCATGTTATTTCTGTGTGCTTCTAAATACACCCACTTAATTTGTCTTCACACCCGCCATATGCATTGTAGAATTTTTATCTTATGGAGAAATACTTGTACATGTTGGTGCAGAGAAAAGTTTAGTGGGTGCATTTAGAAGCTCCCGAAATTCTCATGCCCTCAACCATTAGCACAATTCTTAGATAATTAATTTCTTCCAATTGATTATGAGATAAAAGAAGATGATTTCATTGTATGAAATCAGAATAGTGTTGTTAAGTTACCACTGCAGGTTCCCCAATATGCGAAGCCACTCAACCAAATCCCATTGGTTGGCCCTCTGTTTACACCTCCAATGAATGTCAATTCAGTGGCACGGGTTGTTGTAAGAGCTGCAACTGATCCAGTGTTTCTTTCTGGTATTATAGACGTATATGGTATTCTATGATATAGCCAACAAAAGTCAGCTTAGTCATTGTATTGGGTATTTTTCTTCTCTTTGTGCTTTTGTTATTGTTATAATAAGAACATCAATATCTAACTTTTTTCCTATTAGAATAAATTTTGAGCCAGTCTTCGTGTAAAATTATAGGAAGCTTACCTGATAATTGGGCTTAATAAAAAGATTCAACACTCGCACTTTGCTAGGTGACCAAAGCCATGGTAGTAATGGGTAAAGATTCAATTGGAAATATAGTTGAATTAGGATATTAGTAATATTTGGTTTCTTATTTTTTAGGGATTCTAGTTTTCTTTTTGTAATAGGGTTTAGTTTCCTATTTTGAGTTAGGGTTATTATTACTAAGCTAATAACTTATTAGCTTATAAGTAATATACTTTGGCATTGTAGTAGACAAATTTGCAAACCCTCGTTCAATCGATCAATGTAAGGAAGATGACCTGCATTCCCTCTCTCTTGTTGTCGAACAGTCATACACCTTGAACAAGTATCGACCTAACACTCATACTAGCCGGCACATGAAAAAATAAGAGCAAATTAGCCAAAATTGAACCAACTGCACACACAAGCCATAGAAACTATACTGGTGAAGTCTAGTTGAGCCGAAAACTACCCAAAAATGTATGTTATGGATTAAATCACTCCTAGAAACCTCTAGGATGGCAGGTCGGCACCCAGGGAAGAAGTGAACAAACCACAAAAGCTTCTCCAGTAAATGGATAAAAGAAATGAACTAAAAAATTCTGAAAAACATTTGAAAAATGGAAAATGCTGTCAGATGGCTTCAAAAAATTTCATAAGAATCACCATAGGACTCAGCATGAAGAAATGAATCAAATAGTATGCATCTCAATCACTGACATCAGGATTGTGTTGATGCCATGCTGACTTCAGCACTCTCACACTAACGTCAACAATACAACAGGTTGCGATTTCCTTGTGTGGAAAGTGTATGATAATTTCTCAGAAATTTTAGTGCGTGTAAGGTGTGATAATTTCTCACAAATTTCAGTGCGTTTAAGGTGTGATTGAATTTGATTGGAAGCTCTAATACCAAGTTAAAATTCGGGAAGAGATGGGGGGAAAGAGAAAGCAAAATATAGAAATAAGGTTTTAAAATGAGTTACCTTCTCATCCCTAGATGCTTGAATCTATGTTAAATTTACCTTCTCATCTCTTTATTTATTATTTTTTTTGCAGGTTCACTATGAGACGACAGGTCTAGAGATCTGGGAAGATACAAGAGGCAAGGTGGACATTTTTATTGCAGGGATCGGCACTGGTGGAACAATTTCTAGGGTTGGTCGGTTCCTTAAACAGCAAAATCCTAGCATAAAGGTAAGTGCTTTTTGCTTTTAAATCAGTCAAATCAAACCTAGTTATGAAATTTGTTCCATATTCATTACATATGACATTCTTAGTACCCATGAGATGGAGGGAAAACTGAGTTTGCAACTTTTTTGGCTTGTTCCCCTGGTGCAAACAAGCACTATTCATTTGCCAATGTTGGTATTAGGGCCTTCTCATTTGATGTTTCATTTGCCAATGTTGGTGGCAAAATTAGAAGTACTCAAATCAACAGATTCAAGCCTTGTTGCTTGGGCTAGTATTGGCTTTCTAATTGTCTAGGGATATGTAGAATTTTGGGATGCGAATCTGTTCAGGATTTGTGTTTTATGTGTAGCCTGGACCTAAGGCTGCAAAAACTTGTATGTGCATGTAGATTCTTGACTAAACAGCACTACCACAAACTTAAAAAAATTACCAAAAAAGAGAAATCAATCAATGGTTTACTATCATTGCGAGACTAACTTTATATATATACCACACTTATTTTCAGGATAAGATTCATGATACATTTTCATGGTCTATAGCATTTTTGTATATAAAAAACATACAACTCCATTGATGTGAACTACCAATCACATTAATGTCCATTCCCAAATTGTCACTGTAAAACGACCTCTATATAACTACCTCAAATTTTGATTACTTCGCAATTTTTTTTTGTTCTCCTTGTACATTCAATTGGTTAATTTTCGTAGCACATTCATAGGTATGCAGAGTGTAGTACATATATACATAAACTGACCTACAAGTAAATATTTTGAAATAACCATCACATGACAGAAACAATCACAGGAACAGCAGCATTTTACATTCACAATTTTCACCCAAGAATAAATAAAATGCAGAAGCAGCTGCTACATGCATACAAGAATAAAGGACTAAAAAGGGTGTTCCTTGATTGATGTTGCTGCTTCAGATATTTTGGGGACGCAGCAGCAGCAACCAAAAAAAAAAAAATAATAAAAATAATATTAAAAAAAATTATAGATAGTCTTTGGTGATTGATTCTTCTAATTCTTTGAAATCCCATGCATCATTAGCTGAATATTGCCCTGCACCAGCAAAAAATGAGTAACCATTAACAATGAACTTCAAAAATAGGGTGGAGGAAAAGACCTCAAATAAAATTGTTTTTCATTGTTAATCATGCTGCAAAGTACATTTGTTTTCATACCATATCCCTTTTTCTTTTTTCTTTTTTTCTTTTTCTCACTACTCATCCAACAGAAACATCTTCATTTTGACCCCTTAATTCTTTGAAAGGGATGGTTTTATAGAGTTCAACAAACCCTCCAATCTCCATTTTCCCATCAAACACTTTTCTAACAGGGGCTACATTTGAGTGCAGCTATTCAATCCTAAAGTTAGCTCAATTTTGTTTTGGATCCACCATACACACTATATGCTTGTTTCCATAAAATATTTCAAGTTTTCAACAGCCCATTGTGGGTGCGTGTGCGAGCGAATGTGGGCTCCACACTCACTCTCTCTATGGGTGTGTGTTTAAAAGTATAAATGGATGTCTACTTTTTCTGATTCAAATATGGGCATCCAAACCTGGCTGCATTGCAGTGATTTTGATTGAGAGACCACCTAGGGTGGTTTAGTGATTAAATGTGCTTTATGAACCTCACAACATCTTTTGGGTTTGACTACCCATTAGTGATTGAATTCATCTTTTACTGTACAAGATTCACATTCAATCAACATAAAAATTTTGAAATTATATAACTCATATATAGATAATATAACGAAGGCAAACAAGCAATGCAAAATTTGCACGAAGGCAAACAAGCACTATTCATTACATAATTTGCACCAGGGGAACATCTACAACATATTAGTGTAAGAATTTGGCTTTCATGCATTCTGCAGAGTGATGCAATGGTAACATGTATGATGGATTGTCCCCTTATACAAAATATTTCCTATGGTCATAAGCAGAAATGTTGATTTGTTCTTTACTTTTCTATTGTTGTAGTAACAATAGGCCTAATAAATTGTTTTCTACTCTTGTGTTTGGCTGGTTGGCCTTTGTGAACGGAATGGAGTGAGTTAGTCACTCTTTTCGGGAATATGAATTTGCTTGTCTATGTATGAATATCCCACAATCTTGTTCAAATTCTTTTCTGTATTTGTCATACTTGTATTAGGTTGCCATGTTTTTTTGTTTACCGTGTGTTATTTGTCGTGGTATGCTAATTCTTTCAGCTATCCAGTGACGAAGCTGTAGAAACTGCAAAGCAGCTGGCACTCCAAGAGGGCTTGTTCGTTAGTATTTCTTGTTAATTTATAAACCATTACTATAATTTGAGAGGAAACGTTAGTATTTCTTCTGTTTTCAATATCTCTGTGTCTTAAAAAAGGGGAAAAAAAACATTGAAGACTAATTCAATGTTGAAGACTGGATGTCTGAAAGAAAACTATGGATCAATTGAAGACTATGGATCAATTCATATTGTCAACGTTTCACTTGAATTAGTCTTCATATTGTCAACCTTTCATGAAAAACTAGTTTTCATATTGAATTGATCGAACCTTTCATGTGAATTGAGGAAGATAGGAGTTATTGACAATATGGATCAATTTCAGTTGCCATGTTGGTTTCTACTGTGTGGCACTATATTGGATCTGGAATGGTGGCTGATCCAATTTATTCTATAGACATAAGAATGCTATTGTTTTATTTACAATTTGATAATGATAGTAATTTAATTTGCTAATGTGACCTTTGCTTTTCATGGACATTTTTCATTATTTGTCCAATTTTACCTGACATTATTTCAATTTTTCTTTGGTGTAGATGGATGAACTCGTGCACAAAGCTAAATTTCACAGGACAAATTGGCACTTTTTGCATTTTTGGAAGGATTATATATTTTTGTATAGATGTATATGGAAAATATTAGGGTAGATTAGTAGTTATATTTTTGGATACACTAGTAGTTATATTTTTGGATGGGTGTATATAGAAAATATTTGGCAGACTACTAGTTATATTTTTTGGTTGATGTACATGGATAAAAATTTAAAACATAATAACAAGTACTTGTTATGTTTTAAATTTTTATGCTAGATGCAATATGTAGTTTGGAATTATTTGTGGATGAAAACTTATAATAGTTGTTGACTTTAATTAAACAGGTTCAGAAATGGTTGATACATGTATTTTGTTGAATGTTCATGATTCAATTTATTTGTTGGTTTGAATGATTTTTGCAAATTATAGATTATATTGAATAAATTGGATGGATTATTATAAATTACAGGTTTATTTTGTTGGATGTTGGCGACCAAAATTTGGTTGTTTTTCTAGTTTTGGCGACCAATAGATTAGTCGGGAAAGATAAGTTATACTTTTGCTGACTAAATAAAGTAGTCGGTGTATCACCAAAGCACATTTGGCGACTAAATAATTAGTCGTTAAAATTATTAATTTTGGCAACCAAAGGATTTGATCGCGAATAGGTCTATTGCCGACTAAAGTTTTAGTTGCACAAACATTTCTTTTGGCGACAAACATGTTTGGTTGTGGAATGTGACAATTGGCGACCAAATTAAGAGGTCGTAGAATGTCACAATTGGCGACCAAAATTTTTGGTCGTGAAATGTCACAATTGGCGACCAAATTTTTAGTCGTTGAATGTGATAATTGGTGACCAAATTTTTTGGTCGTGGAATGTGACAATTGGCGACTAAGATATATGGCCGGCAAAATATCACTTTTCGCGACCAAAATGTTTTAGCGACAAAATGGATTAGTCGCAATAATGATATATTTAGCGACAAAAAATTTAATCGGCAAATCTAACTTTTCCCGACCAACCTAAATTTTGGTCGCGAATTACTTTTGTCGATTTTCAATTGGCGACAAAAGTAGCGACCAAAAAAATTGGTCGCGGATAACTTTTGCCGACTAAAAATGGGCTTTTAGCGACCAATTTTTTGGTCGGCAAAAGTGTTAATTCTTGTAGTGAGGGTGTCACGACCCAAACCCGCCCCCTATGGGTTTAGCACCGTAACCGGCTAGTAATCCGAGATTACCGAAGGCCTGCTTAACAGTCAAATAATAGTACAGAGTATAGGGGCATGGCGGAAGCCAAAACAGTAAATAGACAATGTCCAATGAGCTGTGACAGTCTGTATGCAGAAAGACTATTCATATAGATTCACATTCAGAAACAAAACAGCATGTACAATATATACAATCATTCAAGACAGGGACTTAATCCCTACTAGAACAGTATAGTACAGTGACATTCAGTCTATACAGATTATAAGCAAAAAGGGGAAATCTAAAACTCCCCAAGCAGCCTCAGCTTGAGTAGATCAGGAACCTCGAAGTGAGGCACAAAGGTTGGCTTGACAAAACGGGAGTTTACCCTAACGCTTCTAGCAACAGTTCGGTGTCTGTACACCTACATATATATATGAGCAGTGAGCTAAAACCCAGTGAATAACATAATGCGTAAAGAGGTTAAGAATGAATGTCTTTTCAGTATTGAAAACAGTCAATTGATTAAGTGTATCAGTCATTCAGTCATAACAGTCATATGTGGTACATCCATTAGCAGAACAGTACAGTAAATAGTAGGTCTTGAAAGACCAAACAGTCAATGATGGCCATCATAACAGTAAACAGAAGTTCCAACATAGGAACTGATAGAGATCTCTGTAACAATAGTAGTAACAGTAACAGTAGTTGCTAAGGATGCCACAATACAGTTCAGAATAGAGGGCAAACATTCATTCAGTTAACAGTAAACAGTTCAGTTAATCATTCAGAAAATATTCATTTTTGAACATATCTTTACAACATTGTTACTCACAGAGTTCTGGGCTACAGATAAGCTAGTACGCGTCTCCGGATGCCAACTTTACACAGTTACAGATTGAACACACACTAAGCTACACAGTTGGAAAAATAGTAACTTAATCCCTATCTTGACTTTGTGTGGTTCTACAACAATATCCTCATTAAGATGCCCTAAACTAGGCCTAAGAATGCCTAGAATGGATTGAGGATGCAAAGATGCACTTTAAAAATATTTTCGGAAAATAGAGGTCCTCGCTCGAGCGTGGTTTTACTCGCTCGAGCGTACAGGCCAACACAATACTCCGCTCGAGCGCGAGTTACTACGCTCGAGCGGACTGTAAAACATGCTAAAAGTACTGGATGTGTGAAAATCACGCTCGATTAGGCGCTCGAGCGTGTGACACAAGTCCTCACTCGAGCATCCAATACCCCGCTCGAGCGGACTGTAAAACAGATGAAAGTACTGGGAACACGATTTTCCGGCTTGAGAGCCAGTAATCGCGGAGCAGAAGTCCAAATTCTGGAAATTCCATATTCGAACCTCAAGCTCAAAACCAAGTTTTAAAACACCAAATTCGTTCCTCTTGGGCCAATTTTCTGGAAAACTCTTCAAAACCCATAATATAACATGTTTCAAAGGTCAATTTGAGAAATCAAAGCCCAAGGGTAGTTCAATTAAACACAATTTCAAACCAATTTTCATGAACATAACTCAAACGTGACATGCATGAGTTTAAACCAATTCAAAGCTTCAATTACATGCTCTAATGAGCTAATTCTCCAAAAACAAGATGAATTCATGGTCTAATGCAAAAATATGGACATGCATGAGGAATTTCATGAACAATAATTTCAAAACTCAAGAATGACAACATACATGCATGATATATGCTACAATTCAACATGCTAGAACCAATTCATGACTTAGCTCTCTAATTAACCATGGACCATGCAAGAGCTAACTTAAAGACACAATTAAGAGGTTGAATTCCTTATCTAAGTCTTCAATTTAAGGTATGGAAGTTCAATTATGCAAATCTCCTACAAGTTTTTCAAGTCACTAAGCAAATATGAGATGAAATCACTCTTTTCCTCTCACTCTCTCTCTCTAGTTGGCTAGCTCTCAAGAAAAAGACTGATGAAATGTTGTGCGGTCAAGTGTAATGAGGCTCAATATGTTTTGTATGAGGTGGTCCACTAGGATGGCATGGTGGTAATTAAATCAACTATTGCAATTTATCTTTATTTAATCTAATTAAATCATACCAATTCACATTTCAATTAAATACACCATAAAATCATATAAATTCTTATTAGCACAAAACACTAATCAATTTCTGGTTCGGCCGCCGATAAGGCCTTCAATTTACAGTGTAAGCATAAAACATGAACAGATAGTTTAATAGTTGAACAGATAGAGATGCACTTAAACAGATACAAAGAATCAATCAGTTCAGGATTTCAGTCGATTCAGTCAATTATCATAATCAGTCTCAGTTTAACAATAATCAGTGGTTTATCAGTAGTCAGTGGTGAGGGTTGTCACAGAGGGAGTGTGCTAATAGGTGTGCATTTCGGTGGGTCCGATGTTTTTAGAAGGAAACTTTTGGTATCGTTCAGATGGGTCTTAGAAATTTTTAGAAGTTTGAATTTTGTAAATGGGAGTCCAAAGAAATAGAGGATTCAAAGTTTTAATTGAAATGCTACTAACAACACTCATTTTTAACATACTAAACAATTTTCTAATTTTTCACATGGCAAGTCTCTCTCTCTCTCTCTCTCTCACACACACACATATATATATATATATTAGCATAATACTCGTCCAATGCACGAGTATAAATAAATAATTAAAAATTAAATAATAACATCAAATTTTTAATTTTTAAGACACCATATGTATTTCTTGGTTTTTTAAATTAAAAATTTGGATTATTTTTTTAAATTTTAAAATTATATAAAATTAAAGTTGTATTTGAAACTTCTTTTTAAAAAAATTCAAATTTTAAATTTTGACTTTCTATATAAACCTATACTATAAATAAAATTGTATTTTTTATATTTAAAAATTCAAAACAGTTAAAAAAATTAGATTTGAACTTCTAAAAATTTGAACTTCAAATTTTGTATTTTTTCAATCCGTTAGCTATGGTTTCATAAAAATTTGAACCAAACCAAATCATTAAAATCATGGAATGAATCTAAAAAGGGTTTAGTTCTGTTTGGAAATATGGTTTCACATAATCTGTTCATAAGAAAAATCATATAACATTAAAAAAAAAAAAATTAACCTATCATAAATTATAAAAATAATAATAACATGTCTATTGAATAAATGACTCTCATAATATTCATCAGTTAAGCAAAAAACGTAGCATTAAGCTAATATTATTCAACATTAATTCGTCATCATTTTTTGAAACATAAACTTTCAAAACATAAATAAACATATATAGTTTAAGTTGTATGGCCTAGTTCGATTCAAATCCAAAACCGTAGACCTAAATCGAAAACTAATACATGGAAACTAATTTCCCAATTTTTTAAACTGGGATTGAATCACGAATTAAAAAAAAATCAAACCAAACCTACCGAATTGGTCTTGACCAGTTTGGTTTGCAAATTTTTCAATTTCTTTGCTCAACCCTGCAAAGAGGCAATAACATTTTTGTTTATAATCTATATATATATATATATAGATAGATAGATAGATTGCTTCCATATATAGTGACATGCAAATCTAAATTTTGAATGATTGAACATACTTTTCTTTTAAAAGTCATAATTTATTTTTTTTATGGATAATTAGAATTTTATTTTGTAGATTAAATGAGAGTTAACCATTAGAATTTTTTTAATTATTTAAAAATTAAAAAATCATAAAATTTAATATAAAGTTTTGGAGGTTCCACACCTTTCATCTTTGAAAATACCCTTTTGAAAATACCCTTGTGCTTAATAATATATAGAGATAGATAGACAGATATAAATGGGAAAACTCCATAATACATAGTGTGTATTATATGCCTTACTTATAACATTTGTGATTTTTTATTTATTTATTATAATTCATTGTGACTGGCACTCCGTTTGTTTAAGCAGAAAACGTTTTTTGGAAAATGTTTTGTGTATATTTTGGTATTTGGTATAATGAA